CTGGTGGAGGTACAGGTGGAGGTACAGGTGGAGGCACTGGTGGAGGCACTGGTGGAGGTACTGGTGGAGGCACTGGTGAAGGTACTGGTGGCCTAGCCCTAATGCCTCATCACCCTGTCTGCCTCCACCCCAGGGGGCTGCTGCTCCTCTCCTCTTCAGGGTTTCCCCAGCTCTCCACCCCTTGCCAGGGATCAAGGGGAGCTCCCTGGTGGTGTGTGCCCCATGGCTAGAGGGGCCTCATTCTGAGATGTCAGGCCTGGCTGGCCCAGTGGTCCCTGGGAGCCTTCCTGCAGAAACGCACCTACGGCTGCTCAGGGCCGCCACGTTGCCCCAAACACAGGCCTGCATGGGCCGAATGAGCTCTGCTGTCCAAGGCAAGCACTCCAGGGCCCAGCATGGACACTGCTAGAGAGGCTGTAGCAAAAAATAAAAGTGGGGAAAGTAGAGTTGTCGCTCCCAGGGCTCTGGAGAAGGCTGCCTGTGCCCGGCCTCCTGCCTGCCCACTGGCCACCAACACCAGGGCTTGGCACTCTCAAGCCTCTTTCTCCCCATAGAAGAGTATCTTCCTAGAGCTTCGCTTTATAATCATGCCCAACATCAAACAGGGAGGTACCAAGCCATATGGGGCTTAGGGACCGGCTTAGACTCCGTAGCTGGAGTACGTAAACAGGCTAGGGTCTGCTGTGGCCCGGTCACTGAGGTCCAGGCCAAGAGCAGCCCTCTGTCTGACTCACCCGCGGGCCAGGAGGCAGAGACTCACCTTCTACCTGCAATGCCACATTCACCATTGCCAGGGTGGCCCAAGGCTTCTGCCGTCGTCCATGATGATGGCCTGTGTTTGGCCACGCACCTCCCCCACTCTGTGCTGTACTGTGTTTTGTTGGGGGCCCCAGACAAATGCCCAATCCACAGTGGACCCTGCACATCCAAAGACATGGAGGGACCAAGCCCTGTTTGTGCTCTGCACAGGGACATCACGGGATGGCTTTGCGGAGAGGGGAGGAAAGGGGGGGATGGACCTGCTCACCAGAGGCCTGAAGGTAGCAGGGCAGGGAGGGGCCAGAAGGCGGGATTCTGCTGCAGACCCTTCCGGTGACCAGCCAGGTGCCATCCCTCAGCCTAGCTGCTCACCGGGTGCCTGTGTCCCCTCAGGGTCTCCCACCCAGCCAGGGCAGCTCCTCAGGGGTCTGTGCCCAGAGGTGAGTGTGAGACAGACTCACCAAGCCTTGGCAGTCCACCAAGGATTCCAGAATATTCTCCCCAGAGTTCAGAGATGGATCTTACCTGCCCCGTGTCCAGGAAGACGGTGAYCCTCTTGCTCCTGAGACAGACTTCTCCACTGCCCCTGTGACCTGACTCACAGCTGGCTGGGGCAGGTTAGGCTGTTCTTCCCTCAGGTGAGGCCTGCGACTGCCGCCTCCCGCAGCCTCCTAATTACCTGCAGTGAGGTCACGGTCTGGAGGGTTGTCTGTCTGCTGCAGCTGGACCGCACTGGGCACTCTCTCGGCTTGAAGCCAGAAGCTGCTGGCTGTTGCCAGGGTCTTGCGGCTGGTGCAGTGTCTCTGCTCCCTCCCTCCTCGGGCACCTCTGAGCTCCGAGGAGCTTCCCTCCTTCCTGGGCAAGGAGAAGCCCTTTTTTTTTTTTTCCTGGGACCACTTCCAACTTACCCTCTGCCAAGACGCTTTTGAGAAACGTCTGGAAGGAAACGCAGGACTCGCTCTTTCTTGCTATAAAAACGTGCAGACCCAGCAGGCCGCGGACGGAGGGGCTCCATGACGGGGGCAGGAGGGCGCTGGACCCTGAGACTCTCTGTGCCCTCCTGGGACCTCACATCATACTGCCCTCCCCCTTGCTGGGGCCTCCCGTCCAGGAGTGACCTGGACCCGTGGCTTCCCAGAGCTGGGAGGCAGGCAGGATGGCTCAGGATGGCTCGTGAGAAGGAGGATGAACTTCTCCACCCAGCACCTTCAGGAGCAGCAGGACCTATCAAGGCAGATTGCAAAGTGCACTGCGCACAGGAAATAGGCTGCTTTGTTGAAAAACCAGCCTCTATCTCAGAGCAAAGCCTGTCCAAGGAAGGGACATGCCTTAGTCCTTGGAAAGACCCACAGAGCACTCCTAAGCACATTCCCACCCTGCTAAGTTGTTTATCTACAAATAACAGGAGAAATCTGCTGCGCTAGGTGTCCCTGACTCAGTCAGGCTAGGTGGGGATCCATAGCAGCCCCCTAGCAGCCACCCATCAGCATGAGACAGGGAAATACCTGGGATGCCAGATGACCCTCCCAGTATTTTATGGTGGTTGATAACAAGTTGGGAAACCATGTAGTTCAGCATGTACACCCCTCTTGGCTTAAACCAATCAGTTCAAATGAATACCCCTTTTGTTCTGACCAATCACCCCTACCCAACTTGTTCCCGCCAGTGAATGTSCTAATCATGTTTTAGAGTTGTTATTTGATTTTCCCGCGGTGTGTGATGATTTGCTATGATGTATGTGAAGTCCCTGCCCTCTCCAAAGAATGTATAAAACTGCTGTAAACCCTGGGCTTGGGGCCTCTCAGCGTCACCAGTTGCTGTGTGTGCGTGCGGAGGACCGAGCTAGCTCACAATAAACACTCTTTGCTTCTTACATCGATCTTGGGTCTCTGGTAGTCTTTGGGGGTCCCAAATTCGAGCATAACATTGTCACCTCCCTGACGAGCCTGTGCAGTCAGACGGCATTACCCTGAACTCGATTGAATTTATTTGTTCATGCAGTAAATACTTGTTCAGCTTCTCCTACACGTGTGTCCTGGGCTCAGAAATAACCGGCATCCCAGGATGAATGGTTCCCCTGGGACGTGAGACTTTTAATGCCAACATTCCGGAMAAAGGTGGTCACCCTTGGTGAGGGCAGGGACTCTCTCTCCTAATGGAGTTCATGTGGGAGGAAGAACTACACCTGCCCCCACCAGGAGACCCTGTGTCGGCTCCCCACCTGCCCTCTTAACTGTGGACGCTGAGAGGAGCCACCTGTCCTCTGGACTTGGCCAATGCACTCCCTGCTGGGGGTGGAGGTGTTGCTGAGCCCATCCCCACTGTGCACCATGACTAGCAAATGTGTGTGTTGTCACTTTGCCCAGAGCTCTGTAAAGGCACACAAGCCTGCCACCCAGAGCAAACCCACAGGGTAGTGTGTCCCCAGCCAACGCTCATGGCAAYTGCCTAGTGAACTCAGAGCCTGGCCCAAGCCCAAAAACACTGAGCTGACGGAGGCTCCTGCACAGGCCTCCTGCGCTGGACTCCTCCTGACGGCAGAGATACCGGGTCACCCGCAGCCTGGGTCTGGGTGCAGGTATCTGGGGCCAGAGTCAGGGAAGCCCCTTGTGGACCAGTCTKCCCGTGGGCTTGAGGATGCACCCCAGATGCACTTTGGTCCCTGCCTCGGTTTCCCTCACTGCCCTCAGGTTGACCCTGCTTCCTGGGTTTCCTCCTGAAGCCCCAGGACAAGCAGGCCATGGGGAGACCAGAAGGCAGGGTGGGGGGCTGTCGCAAGGGCACCTTCTCTGGTGACCTGCTGCCAGGACTCAGGAGTGTGTGTGGTCTCTGGGACCTGCAGCCCGTGTGCTGTTTCCTTTCTAGAGGGCAACGTGGCCCCTGCTGGGTGTTGTGGCCTTCTGTGGGGTGTGGATGTGTAGGTTCACAACACTGTTTCCTGGGGCCCTCGCAGCAGCACCCCATGAAGGAGGCATAGTTAGCACCCTTTGATGGATGAAGCGGAGACTCAGGTACTCCATGCTTTGCCCACAGTGACGGGTCGAGTGATGAGCAAGCCGGGATGGGAACCAGCTCTTTCTGAGGCCAAAGGGCCTTCTTGCCTGAGGTGGTCCCTAAATCTTGGAGCTGGACCTTGCAGGAGCAGTGGAGGAGGAGACAGGGCCTCCCAGTCATCCCCTTCTTCACCTGAGCGCAGTGGACCCGCCCTGCCTTAGTCTACCCATCCCAGGGACACCCACTGAAGAGGTATGGGGACGATGGAAGAAAGCCTTCAGAGCAGCAGGTCACAGCTACTCTGGGAGGTTATTAATGCCTATTTTTGAGAGCACTTTGACCGTATGGCACCCAGGGCTGGGCTAGAGTGTTGGGAGCGGTGTCATTAAAACCGTTATTGCTCTATTAAATTTCTCTAGGGACAGAAAGAACTTCCATCAGCTGGTGAGACCTGCAATTACAGCTAAGCAAATTGTTGCCTTTTAAACAGGATCCGTTTCTGCACAGCCCTGGATAATGCCTTCCCTGTTGGTGAATCACGCCCGCCTCACGTCCATTTCCAGGCCCCTGACCTCCTCTTCCTGTGGTTCCTTGTGCCTGGAGACATTCCTGTCGGCTTTGCAGTAGAATGAGGACTCAGGCTTGGGATCATCCCTCAAGACCTGCAGAGTCCCAGAAAGCAAACTGGACCGGAGGGGAACAAACTGGATTGGATGGGCCTAAGGCTTCCTCCCTCCTAGTGTGTTCTAGATTTTTCTGGAAAAGTGCTCTTCAGTGAAGAATGATGGAATCTTGGGGCTTTTTTGGGACAACACTTTTGGGGCAGTTCTTTCTGGTTGAACACTGATTGTGGACAGTTTACATTCATCGAGCCCACGTCCTGTGCCTGTGATGACACAGGAGACACACGATGAATGAAACCCAGTTGTTGCCCTTGAGGAGCTCAGGAGACAGGGAAAGAAGGAACCTTTCAAGAGCAGGGGCCTTTGGGTTGCTCAGGGAAGAAATAGAGACCAAAAAGGAAAGACTGTCTTGGGCTTGCATGACTAGGTGTCCTGGGCTCAAATGATCTCATCTGGGCTCCATTTGTCCCCTCTGTTCCTTGGCTCTGCGTGTCTCGGCCATTCCTGGTGCACCAGCGTCACTCTCTCTGCTTTTGACATGCTCTAGACTTGGAGGAAGGGACAAGACAAAGCAAAGGAAAAAACCAGGCTCTCTTTTGGCAGGCATGGGTGAAATCTAAGAATTATTGCTGCGTGCAGTGGCCCACACCTGTAATCCCAGCGGCTCAGAAGGCTGAGGCAGGAGGATCTCAAGTTCAAAGCCAGCCTCAGCAATGGTGAGGCACTAAGCAACTCAGTGAGAAACCTTGTCTCTAAATAAAATATAAAACAGGGCTGGGGATGTGGTTCAGTGGTCAAGTGCTCCTGAGTTCAATTCCCAATACCCCTCCCCAAAATTATTATACTAGTTAACTTGTGCTCCCTAACAAACCTCTGTGAAATCCAGTGTCTTGAGGGTCGGCTGGTCCAGCTGAGGGAGGCTGCTCACCTGGTTCATCTTCCCACCCTCGCATCTCCCTTGAGGCTGGGGTTCAGGCTGCTCCCTGTGTGAGCACCTGGGGACTCAGACTGAGGGGAGGTGGCTATCTGGGGAAGGGTGGGCACAGACAGGTCAGGTCTTAGGGATGGCAAGGCCAGGGCTAGTAACGTGGGGATTCAGAGGGAGTAAGTCACGGAGGGGACTTGGTTTCTGAGTACAGGGTGTGGGGTGGAGAGTTGAGATGAAGCCAGGGATTCTAGGTAAGGCAGTGTTCGCTGTGTAACAGATGGACTTACCCATTTGAATATCTTCAAGCAGTGGTCAATTTGTGTGTGCC